TAATGTGCAAAGCAAATATAAAACTGAATAGAGACTAACGTTGACGCCGTCATAACTACTATAACTGACAAGCCAACAAAATATACGTACAGGGCCTACAAGCCCAACATACTGCACTCACGATATGTCTACAAGCCTCTACTGATAGATGTACTGTGATCGGAATAGGGTCGCGACCTACCCATAACCTATATATATATATACACAAAACTTCTAGACCCGGCAACTCCGAAGGACGGGGAGCTTACCGATAAAGCTGAATTCGGGCAACACCTACTGAGGAGGTCTACCCGTCTGTCTGTCTGAACCTGCACGTATGAAATACAGCGCCCCCAAAAAGGGAGGTCAGTACGAAATAATGTACCGAGTATGTAAGGCAATATACTGAAAGCTGAAACTGGACCGATAATATAATAACTGAAAGCAACTGGGGGTTAAAAATAATCTGAAGATATGCTTGCCTGCTGATATTGACTCTGTTCTCTATTATAGTAAGTAAAATAGCTGTACGGTCTTATAAGGCTCGGTGTATATATATATATTTCTCGACCAACTGGGCTCGCTCAATGGCGCTCGGCCACAGTAAGCTCGGTATATAACTTACCATCTAATTTGAGGTTGCCCAATAGGGGCCTGCCCATCGATTATAGCTCGATGGTAATAAAAATACTGTAATACCGTATATAGACTTTCTGTTCTCTTAACTGGAAAAAGGAAATACTCAATTGAACATGAAGTCCCGGTAAGGAGAATATTGTAACTTACAAGACTAGAAAAATATACGTAAATTTCAGGACATGAATTTTTCTTTATGCCTCGTTATCAAACTCGTGTAATTACGAGATCATGCCAAAATGAAGAAAGGGCTTAGCCTTAACATACCTGGACTAGGGAAAAATTTGTATGATATTCTTGAGAAGGTTTACACCGTACTCCATTAAAATTGCAAAATCACACGTTGCTTACGATACTACGAAACCTCTATTTGAATTATTAAAGATCATTAGCTTCAGATGGCCTTCAACGTTGGCGTCAGGTGCCTTTTTCGTTAGCTTCAGATGGGCCTTTTCTATTCTCTCCAATGTTGAAGATATGCATCTCTTAATTCTTAAAAGATATGAAGCCTCCTAATGTTTTAAAAGATCTATTTAAGAGATTTGTTTAATTCCCTCAAATGTTGAAGGCTTTTCTCTTAATTTATTGCCACCTACCACACATGACTAATGAGTCATTTGTTTTGGGTGGTGGCTTACTGCCACATGGGGTGGGGGAGGTGTTTTTAATCTTATCCTATAATAATTAATTAGGTATTATCCCGCTACCCGATAATTAACCAATTACCCACATAATTAAGAATTATCTCAAATTACTTAAAATTTTACTTATTTTTAATATACTTTATACATCATACTATCATGGTCATATGGTACCTTGTGTGGTACTAGTCCATAAATATCGGTTATTATCGCCCGGCCCGTATTTTATCCCAAATCGACAACCTTCAACGAAACTCATTTTCTTTAATTCGTGTACCCTTTATCCTTCATGATACTTATCGCTTGTTATAAATAGCATAAATATTACCTCAAGATTATCCATCCCCGAGTCTATATCAATTAACTGAAGACAAAACTTTAAAGTACGAGAAACGCGAGATGTAACATCCTTCCCCCCTCAGAAACATTCATCCTCGAATGTTTACTCTTAGATACCTTGGAAAGATTTTTTTTGCCAGAGTCTCCTCCATACACTAGACTAAAACCAACTCGTACGCAGCCAGAAAACATACAATACATGCCACACTTGGGCTCACACAGCTGTCTATTATAAATTTGGAACATCGAAAGCAAGAGCTTACTTGAGGACCTACTGGCCTGAATAGGGCTTTTCTGAGGTATCACACCTCGAGCCATATCATTACTACAAAAAAAGGCCTTTGGCGGCAGTTATTTAGCGGCAATAAGGCAATGATCGCTAATAAATTCTTTAAACTTAAATATTAGCGGCATATAACCATTAGCCAGTAAAAGATATCCTTTTGCCGGCAATAAAAAATAATAGCCACTAAAAATTACTAGTTGAAATTAATCTTTTATTATTTTAACTTTCCCTCCAAACAAAAAAGAGAAACATCTTTCCCTCCAATTTTTTTAGATACCTTTTATCCTTTCCCTCCCCAATTAGAAAACAATAGAAAACAATTAGAAAAACCTAACTCGCTAAATCGACTGTCGCTGAATCAATTGTAACCTAAATCGATGTTGCGTCAATGGCAGTGCGTCAACAGCAGTGCGATTTACCGCGATTTACAGTGCATCAACAGCAATGCCCATCTTCTTCCCAGGTAAATTCTCTTATTCCCCTATTAACTTCTCTTCTTCCAATCGATTTACAGTAGATTTACAGTAAATCGGTTCCTTGCAATCGATTTATAGTAGATTTTGGATTGATGTTGGTCGATTGATTACAGTAAATTAGTTCCGAACTTGTTATTGCGCCAACAGCCTGCCGTAGTACCCGTCCATCTTCTTCCCATGTAACTTCTCTTCTTCCCCTGTTAACTTCTCTTCTTCCCCTGTTAAATCAGTCGCTTGTAATCGATTTATAATAGATCTTGGATTGATGCTTGTCGATTGATTTACAATATATTCTTTGTACATTAATCTGGTAAAAGTCATGTTATATCGTTGTTCTTATTTGGATGTAGAAAATCCTGATTTAGGAAGTTTGTTTCGGCCGCTTATCTCTTATATCTAAATTTTTCCTTTATTTTGGGAGACCTGTTTGATCCTTTGGCTGCCGTTTTAAAATTGTAACTGAATGTAATGACTTGTGGAAACTTGTTGATTGTTATCAAGAAAAAACCTCTAAAATTATAGTTTATTTGCATTTGGAATTTGGAGTATAGAATAAAACTTTTAAAAGGATTCTGATGCTCCCTGTTTATTGTTTTCTCTCAAAAGACACATCCCTGTGTAAGTTCTTTTCATCTCTTAATTCCTGGCTCCACCAATGTTCCTAAGCCTTAACTATTGAGAAACAGACCTAAAACTAAAATCCCAAACGCCACCTAATAAGATTTCTGACCCAAAGGTCGAAGCCATGTCGCAAAGGGTTCTTTGCAAGTTCTTTACGCATGGAGCATGTCTGAAGGGGGAGCATTGTGAGTTTTCACATGATTGGAAAACTAGTCCTAATAATGTATGCACCTACTACCAAAAAGGAGCTTGTGCTTATGGAAGCAGGTGTAGATATGAGCACGTTAAGTTGTCTCGATCACAGCCTTAAGCACAGTCTCAATAATATCTGCTTTCAAGTTCTGTTTCTACCAATGTGGCTCCTAGAGCGGGTGCACAAAGTGCGGGTCTTGTGCCTGGTATTTATACTGAGTATTCAGCTTCAAGCAAACTGGCATGGAACCAAAACTCAGAGCTTCACGATACATTGGATAGTGATGACATGATTGAGTTGAGGAGTGTTAGTCCAGATGATAGGTCGATATGTGCTTTTGCTGCTGCTGGTAATTGCCATCGTGGAGAAAAGTGTCCGCATATTCATGGATATTTGTGTCCAACCTCTGGGAAGCATTGCTTGCATCCTTTCAGGCCTCAGGAAAGAGAGGAGCATATAAAAACATGTGAGAACAGGCAAAAGCACATTGATTTATTGAAGCGCAGTCAAGAAATATAATGTAGTGTATGCCTTGAATGTGTTCTTTCCAAGTAAACGGCAGCTGAGAGGAAGTTTGGGATCCTTTCTGAGTATGATTATCCATTTTGTATATCGTGTATCAGGAATTGGTGTGGCAGTTCTTCCTCTGGAATGGATTTTAATTCTGCACTGAGGGCTTCCCCATATGCCGCAAGCTTTCATATTTCATCATTCCAAGTGTTATTTGGTACTTCACAAAAGAAGAGAAGGAAAAAATAGTTGACAGCTACAAAACAAAACTCAGATCTATCGACTGCAAGCACTTTGACTTTGGGAGTGGGACTTGCCCATTTGGGACTAGTTGTTTTTACATGCATCAATACCGTGATGGTCGTTTGGAGGAAGTGGTGCTGCGCCATCTTGGTTCTGAAGATGGAAACACAGTAATTGCTAAAGACATCAGGCTCTCGGATTTCCTTAGCAACTTGGAAATCAGATGAACAACTCTTTTTGTAATCTCAAGATTATAGCATTTACGGAATACTATGCTCTTTACGCGTGCCAGTGTAGTCCATGCGACCCATCATCCGAGGTGTCTCTTCCTTTGATCGGTCCATGATGGCTGAACCCGGCAATTTCCGCCACTCTTTGCTTCCTATTGTTCTTGGCATTGTACCTGAGTCAGACTGCCGGAGAAGCTGAAATGCCAGTGAAGTGGTTTGAAGGTCATTGATGAGGAAAAAGCCGGAGTTTCAGTAGTAATTTGTTTATTTTTCTCCTGACTGCCATGTTAATTATTACTAGAGAACTTGCATGATTTCATTCGAATAAGACATTAGAAAAGGCAGTGACAGGAAGCAGAAAAACTGCAACAGTAATATATTCTGATATGACGAGAAGCCTCAGCTAGCACCAAAAATGTGAAACCAATTGGAGACGATTATATATCCTCAAGAAATGGGGGATTGGAAACATGTATATTTTAGAACAGTTTCTGAATTACAATTTCAGAATTAATAGTTTGAAATCCATCAGTTTTACTTCAAAAAAAATATTGAGAAATAGATTACCAGGCTTAGCTGTCGCCTGTCGGGATAATAAATTAGAAATTGAGTTGACTTATCTAACGTCTTTGCCTCCTCTTTGATTCTTCATTATTCTACTATATCTCAATGATTTTTCTTTGGCACGTGTCTACTTGGAAAGTATGCCCTACATATTCTATGTTTCATCAATTTGAAATTCTTGGGTAATATGTTTATAGGTTGTAGCATTTCTTTGGTGGTCAAGAGAATAAGGGAAGGTTTGCACTATTATCACTTAGTTTTTACATATTCTGAAGCTAAAACATGACAGAAAATTCATGTGTAAAGCGCATTCAGAAGGAATGTAGAGCACTTTGTAAAGTACATAATCTTTTTGCTGCTGGTAATTGTTCTACATTTGAATCTTTACCTCATAATTTTCATCAGTCTAAAGTTATTTACTTCTTCCTCCAATTTCATATTTATTGAACGAAGGAATTGCTTCTAAAGTGTGAAGTTACCGCACTGTTCTAAATACTCCTCACATCATCAGGAATGTTCTAAATACTTATATTTACCTTTATGGATAGTACTGGATTGAAGTCATTAGCCATAGTATTTGTTAATTATAGATGATGGACTCTTTGCTTACCTCTACACCATTGCTCGCTATGAAAGCATGGCACTTGTATTCTTAATTTTTTGTCGTATCTTAGTGAAAGTCTTACTTAATGGACCAAATGATACTCGATGACATTCCTTATACCTGTTGTGGCTAGACTAATCCACTCCATGCAATTTGATTATGTTCTACGGTGCTCTGATGTCATGATCATGCTCCATTGCAGGAACCTGTCTCCTATGTTGTCGCCCGCCCTTCTCCAAATGATATTATTGAGTGGCGTGAGTCTACTTCTGCTCATATTCTTGTAGTCAATTTTGGAATAAAATTGAGACTTAAAAATGATGCTTTTTTCAAATAAATATAGTTGAATAGGCTTATGTGCTGGGAGGCACACCTTCTGTTTTTCTTTTCCCTTTGGCTTTACTTTATATATTAACTCATCATTTGGTTGCTTGGATATTCCTAACTTCTACCTAAATTTGTGTCCAGATTATATTTTGGAGGGGAGTGAAGGAACACCATTTGCAGGTCTGTATTCGTATTATATGATTAGCTAATATTGTTGGCTAATATTGTTCCTCCTATCCATCTTGTTAGAATTTTTATTGTCATGATGTCATCATTGAATATTTTTCATTTGCCAGAACTATGCTTTTGTTGTTATTGTTCATGAAATGATACCATCTCCTATAACTAGGTGGATATTATTACGGGAAGATCAAGTTTCTTCCAGAATATCCGTTTAAACCCCTAGGAATCAGGTAATCTAATTCATATGAGTTTGGAAATTCCTGACTTGTTTCATTTTTGCAAGCTAGGTTGTCTCCATGCGTTTGAGGGTTTGGTTCCTGCTGATTTTTACATCGTGTATGTTTTCTTCTTCTGTAGTATGACTACTCCAAACGGAAGATTCATGACACAAAAGAAAATCTGCTTATCTATGAGTGACTGTAAGTGCTTATCTCCCCTATTAGCAGCAGTAGGTATAATTGTTGTTTGTGTAACCTGTTGATCCTTATCTTGCCCGTGGCTATTAGAATATTTCCCATACCTTTTAACACCTGATCATATACTAACAGCAGCATCTAAGCTAGAATATAAATACTTTGTTTAGAGGTATCCTCTTCCAATACAAGCATAAGACAATAATATGGAAAACTATAGCTAATTTATTTTCAAAGTTATTGCATCTTTCTCAAAAAAGAGTAAAGAGTTTGTTAAGCTTGATAACTAAGCTTAGTTTTTCATGTTTAGAGCTATTAATCTAGTGAAATCCTACTATTACCAATAAGAGGTTTCATTGTTGTGAGTGTTGCTTTTGATACCAATGTTTTTGTAACAGACCTATTCTTTGTGTTATATTATGATACTTGAATCTTGAAGCTTATACAATAGCCGAATAGGAAAGTGCTCAATTTCTTCTCATGGCAGCATATTTCCTTTGATGGCAGACAAGATAAAGAACATAGTGCTCCAAATTTTCTTTCCTCTAGAAGTACCTCTTCGTAATTAATTCTGCTCTTGTTCGTCAAATCTTATCTCTTTGACAATTATTCTTTGCACGAAGCCACCTATGAGGGATGTTTTGAATACCTAGCTTCCTTAATTTTATGAGAGACTGCATAGTGGAGGAAATTTGATAAATAACCTTGATGATAGTCGCTTTAAGTTTACTTTATTTTTCCTTTTTCCCTATCTGTTCTGATCAATTTGATTGAAATGTTCATATTTTAGCTTAGTTGTTTTTGCTTATAGATGTTAGGTGAGGAAGTTGGCTACTCTAATAGTGATGGAATCTTCAAGATATTTTTTCACATTATACTTTATCTTTTGCTACAATTATTTTATAATTTCAGGTTATACCGTCTGATGTTGGATAATTTAGCGGGTGAAAGATTTCAAAATAATGAAAAGTTACGAAAATCATTTGAAGACCATCATTTGGATTAGTTATATAATGACATTTGCTATTTAGTCTAAATAAAATATTTTTATATTTTAAGTTACTGTGATATTAATATTTTTTATTAGTACTTTCTTTTGTTTGTTAAGATTAATGAGATACATTTTTTTTGTTTGAATTACTATTAATATATTTTATTATTGAGTCATATTATGTACGAATGTAGTAACTATTATTAATTGTGGCTAAACTATTTATAATTGATGTAAAACAATTACCGTTAAAGATATTGAGTTTTAGCGGCAATTTAGTTAAACATATTACCATTAGAATGGAAGCTAAAAGGGTAAACTAAGATGTTTTCTGAAGGGATAATATAGCCATTTTAATTGCAACAAAATAATTGCCATTAAAGATGCAAACTTTTAGTGGCAATTATTTTTAATTTAGCGGCTATAAAAAATAGATGCATGTAACTACCCGATCGGTCGTTTTGACCTCTAGCGCGTCGCTCAGCAGTCTGAGGCCATGAGCATCTTTATTTCAGGTATTATGACTTGTACGCGTGGTTGGAATTGAATTTCGGGAAGTTCAGAGTTGATTTAGAAAGAGAATTCTCATTTCGGAAGCTTAAAGTTAAAAGAATTAACAAAGATTGGATTTTTGAGTAAACGACCTGGGAATCGGGATCTGAAGGTTCCAGCAGGTTCGTATGATGATTTCGGACTTGGGCGTATGCCCGGTTCAGATTTTGGATAACCCCGGAGCGTTTTGGCGCCTATTGTGGAAGTTAGCATTTTGGAAGAAATTTCGTAAGTTTGGCTTGAAGTTCATTTCAGTGTTATCGATGTCCATTTGGGATTCCGAGTCTGGGAGTAGCTCTGTATGGTGATTCGGGAGTTGGGAGAGCAATCGGAAGTGAATTCGGAGGTCCGTAGGTCATTTTGAAGTCATTTGGCCAAAGATAGAAATTTGAAGGTTTTTGAGAAGTTTGACCGGAAGTGGACTTTTGATATCGGGGTCGGAATCTGATTCTGGAAGTTGGAGTAGGTCCATAATGTCGAAAATGACTTATGTTCAAAATTTGAGGTCAATCGGACGTGATTTGATAGGTTTCGGCATCGAATATAGATGTTTGAAATTCTAAAGTTCATTAAGCTTGGATTGGAGGTCGATTCATGATTTTGGCATTGTTTGATGTGATTTGAAGCCTCGAGAAAGTCCGCAATGTGTTATGGTACTGGTTGGTATGATTGGTTGGGGTCCCGGGGGCCTCAGGTGGAATCCGGGTGGTTAACGGATCAAAAATGGGATTTTTGAAAGGGTTGAAGTTTGCTGCTTCTGTCATTACCGCACCTGCGGTTGGTGGACCGCAGGTACGAGACCGCAGATGAGGTCCTTGTATCGCAGAAGCGGCCCAGGCAAGCCAGGTCAGGAACCGCAGAAGCGGCTCCGCAAATGCGGCCTCCAGACCGTCGTAGCGGTCCCAGCCTTCTCTCCCCATTTCGCAGATGCAGTCGCCTTCTCGCAGAAGCGGGACCGTAGATGCGGTCCCCTGACCGCAGTTGCGGAAATGCTGGAGGCAGTGAGGTTCTTTTAAATCGGGGGTTGGGTTTATTTCAACCCCATTTTCTTACATTGAAGCAACTTTGGAGTGCCATTTTCATCACCAAGCATGTGGTAAGTGATTTCTACTAGTTTTGAGTAAATACAAGGTTTATATATGGATTAAGACAAGGAAATTGGTAGAAAATTTGGGGTTTTGGTGGAAGGACCTAGAAATTTATATTCTTGGAATTTGGCCACGATTTTGGCTATAGAATTTACAGAAAATTATATATTTGAGTTCGTGAAGCTATGGGTAAACTTATTCTTCGAAAATTTTGGAAATTCGGGCACGTGGGCCAAGGGCGTTTTTGTCAACTATTCGATCGGGGTTAGGAATTGTTATATATTGAATTGTAAGGAGTAATTGAACATATATTAATGGATTTGCATAACTATTGGCTAGTTTTGGAGCGTTGTGCATCAATTAGAGTTTTCGGAAGGGCGTGGAATGCCGGTTATGGATCTTCGGAGCGAGGTGAGTCTCCTTTCTAACCTTGTAAGAGGGAATTGTCCCCATAGGTGAGTTAAGTGGCTATGTGCTCCTATTTGTGGGGGCTACGTACGCACGAGGTGACGAGAGTCCGTGCGTAGCTACTATTATGCTATTGTCCGGTAGTCTAGGACCAAAAAGCATGCTGTACTTGGATTATTTGTAAACTTATTAACAGCTTGAATTGCTTAAATCACATCGAATCAGTAAATGAATTTCAAAAAGGATTTAACTTCATTTTTCTTAAATCATTAAAGGAAAAATTGGCTTTTTATTGGAATAAACATTTCCCGATAAACTCTTAACTGGTTGTTTGACCGTGTGTATATATATGTGCCCGCGTCACATGTATGATTCGCGAGCGGGATATTTGTTTAATTAATATTGACCACGTCGCATGTACGATACGCGAGCGAGGTAATAGATGCATCAATGGTTCGTGTCGTTCGACCCTCGGCAGTGCACATTTTACATTTATGTTGGTCCGGGCAGTACGACCTCGGCATGAGTTGCGCATGCTGGTATTGCTTGCCTTGAGATTTATTGATATTGATATCCGCTCTCCCCGACTTGAGATAATTGTTAAGTAATGGATTACGAATCCAGAGGCTTCTAATAAAAAGGAACTTTTACCTGTTTCGCGACTTCTCTGAATTTACTGTTGTTAATAAATTCGTGAATCATTGCATTAATAATATATCATTTAAGTGTCGAAGTCGACCATCTCGTCTCTACTTCTTCGAGATTAGACGGGATACTCATTGGGTACACGTTGTTTTCGTACTCATACTACACTTCTGTGCATTTTTGTTGCACAGGCATACGTATCTTTAGTGGCCTACTGGGTGTGGCAGCATGGTTGATACGGAGACTTAGGTGAGCTGCATTTCTCGAGGCGGTCCGCAGCCAGTAGAGTCTCTTTCAGTTATCTGTATTTATTTTCTGTCCTACAATGTACTCCGGACGGTTGTTGCATTTTATTTTCTTATTAGTGAATGCTCATGCACTTGTGACACCGGTTTCTGGGATGATTATTGGATATCTTGTATTTACTTCCAAACTTTCTTTTATTTACATTGTATAGATTGTCTTCTACTAGTAAAATTGAAGGAAAATCTTAGTTTTCAAAATTGTTAAAATGAGAATTTAATCAGGTAATTTGGTTGGCTTGCCTGACAACAGTGTCCAGCGCCATCACCACCCTTAGTGGATTTTGGGTCGTGACAATATGGTATCAGAGCACTAGGTTCCTAGGGTCTCACGAGTCATGAGCAAGTCTAGTAGAGTCTCGCGGATCGGTACTGAGACGGCTGTACTTATCCTCGGGAGGCTACATGACTGTTAGGAGTACTTCCCTTCTTGATTCCTTATCGTGCGATTTGATCCTTGGGGGCTTATGCCTTTAATTCATTCCTATTCAATCTTGTGCGATGCGAACCGCTTCTTATAAATCGAGAATTGAAGAATTGTTATGGTACTACCGATGCAGTGCGGGGTGTTTCTCCCTGTATAGTTGTCTGAGCTATTATCGTCGCCTTGTGGAAGGATATTCTATCGTTTCAGCTCAGTAGCGGTACTTCTGATAGCTCTGAGGCTAGGCACGAGTTTCCATGAGGCTATAAACTATTGTTTCGCAGTATTGATATGATGGTAGGACATTTGCCTACGTGTCAGGGCGGTGAATGACCTGAAGGGAGGTTGACTCAGTGCATAATCTAGAGGTTCAATATTTTTATTCCCGATAGGGGAAAGGCAATCAGACTAAGAATGGTCAGATGTGGGCTGGTGGAGTAATGAGACTTGGTATTTGCGAGCGTGGTGGAGCTTTCTTCTATGATGGGGTGTCGTCGTCCTAATTGAACGTACTAAGTTCGCCGGTGTTATGACCTTCTACAATTCGCCTTTGGGGCAAGCTATTGTGAAATAGTATTGAAAATGCGGCTGTCAGATATCGCAGAGTGCGGTAGTTCAGGGTTGAATCAGTGTTTCTAATGTCGACGGTATGAGAAAGATGATCTTCCGAAAGGTGTAAAGTTAGCAGCAATTGTGGGTTCAAGTGCCACGAAGATAGATTTTATGTAAGGTAGCAACTGAGCAGCAAAGGATGAGGAAAGACATGTAGGAAGTGTCAGGCGGTGGCTAAAATTTCTAGAAGGCTAAGTATAAGAGGAAAAGGTCGAGTAGTCGATTAAAGGGATGAGTTCCGCCAAAGTGGGAGAGTGGCGGAGTTGCATATGGGCATTGGGGTAGGATGACTATGCGCCTTAAGGAGAGTCTGGGATGACTTGGGAATTTTAGTGATTGGTGATATGGGGTCTACGAATTTAATTTGGAGTATGGGCTATTATACGACAGGAGATTTGATATAACGGGAAGGAGCTGCTTGAACTGAAGAAGGATACAACATAACCTTGAATTGGAGGGATGTTGCCGCACATTTAATTGATGTCCACAAGGGGTGAATGGACTTGTGCAGCTAGATAGTGAGCTCGGACTCGGGATGGGTTATTGATGTCGTAGCGACTGTACCCTGTGCAGCAGCATTGGAAGATGTCGGGAAGTGATTTCCACAGGTGGGTTATTCCTTGTGAGCAGGTTAGCGGTCACATGGTTGGCGAGGCTTCTGCGAAGAATTCTATTGGTTGTACAACAAAGAGATCGGTCGTATGAATGTGGTAATGATTCAGAGTATAAAGAGGGGTTTTACAGAAAGATTCCGAGAAATTTTGGCGGTTAATTGCGTAAGGTGATGTCAATAAGAGATTAAAAATCCTGGTGAATTCCAGAGTTAGGTAATAGTGGCTTCAAGCTAAGTGGGAGAGTCCTACCGCCTACGATTGGATTGTATGGTTATCTTCTTGCGAGGTTT